AGTAGTAGTAGCAGCAGCAGCAACAAAACAACAACAGTAACAATAATAACAGAAATAAAGGATAGCAACCATCGCTATAAATACAATAATCACAATCATAGCAATGATAGCAACAATAGCAAGAATAGCAGTTCTAGCAAAACCAATAAGAACAATGATACTTGTTACACCAACAATAACAATAATAACATTAGAACAGTGGCAACAACAGTCTGTAAATCGATATGTATGCGATAGCGACAATGATGAGAATAAGAACAAGTGTAACACCAACAGTAGTGACACATAATGATGATAGTTACCGAAGTTTTGTTGGACAGTCGAACTCAGGCAAGAATATCGGCTGGATATGATGCAGAGGCCTTTGTCAGATGATTTCGTCATTGACGTCATGGCAGAGAACGCCGATGGAAATTCTTGGCAAGCTCTCGCCTTTGATTGTGTCTACTCCTTCCTAGTAGCGATCAACCAGCTCCTTCATAAAGGCTTCAAGGAGCACGAAATAAAGGGGGAGTTGCTTCTCAAGGAGCTGCGAAATGCGAGCTTCACGGGAGTTCCGGGGCCCTGAAGTATGCAGATTTCTTTTCCTTTGAGTTGACTTTGAAAGGCCAAAGGTTTAGGGTTTAGGGTTTAGGGTTTAGGGTTTAGGGTTTAGGGTCAAACCCTTTTGTCTGGGAGCCGCTACAGTACAGACGTCAGGACTTGTTTTTTTGAGAAAAGCCCCATGAACCCTAGGTTTCCGGCCACATCACCTTCAACGAGGATGGCGATCGCATGGGCGAGTATGAGCTCTTGCGCTTTGGAGACCAATATATTGGCCTTAGTGAGTAGAACGGGGTTCTTTCAAGGGTTCTTTTAAAGGGCTTCTAGAAGGGTTACATATAAGTGAAAGTATCAGGGTCTGGGGGTTTGGGGCAAAGGCTAACATACTTACAAGAAGGAGGCCTAAGCAAGGGATAGTGCTCGCTACTTGTTCGGTTTAGGGTTTAGGCATGGATGTTTCGCGGCGCACCCAATACAGTTCAGAACCCCAGGGCCCGACCGAACCCTAATCCCTAACCTTTCCGGCATCACCAACAGAAGGGCTGCAAAGCAAGCGCTGCCGTGGGCATTGGTAGCAGCCATAGAGTCATCTAGGGCCACTGACATGCTGATTTTGAATTGGGGGTTTAGGGCTGAATGGTTAAAATGACTGGGTGTCAATCTGGGATACTTTCAAGTTTCCCTTATGGTTTCTATAGAGGGACCTATTCATAAATACTTTTCAGGGCCCCACATCTACAACCCAGATGAGGTTGATTGCAGTATTGTACTAGACACTATGATTTTCGTGCATACCTTCAGAACATAGGGACCCTAATAAGGTACGTAGTCATCCTTTGCGGTTTCGGGGTTTAGGGCCTTGGAGAACCCCGCAATGAACCCTCGTAACGCCTGCAAAGGAACCCTAAAGAGAGCGGAACCTTTAAAGCCTAAAACAATCCTGAACCCTAAGTTGCCCTGTAGAAACCCCAAGAGACTAGAGAACCCTAAGTTACCCTGTAGAAACCGCAAACCCTCGAGAACTCGAAACCCGAAGCTCTAAAACCCTAAGCCCTAAACCTGAAAACCCAAAACCCAAAACCCTATAGAACCCCGAACCCCAAACCCTAAACCCTGTAGAACCCTAAGCCTCAAACTCTAAGCCCTGAACCCTAAACCCTATAGAACCCTAAGCCCTAAACCCTATAGCCTAAACCCTATGGAACCCTAAACCCTAAACCCTATAGGACCCTAAGCCTCAAAGTCTAAAAGCCCCAACCAAACCCAAAACCCTCTATAGGACCCTAAACCCTAAACCCTAAACCCTATAGAACCCTAAGCCTCAAACTCTAAG